GACACATTCAAGCACTGTGCAGAATATTTAAGCACCTATCCCAGTCCCTTGCTTGGTATGAGCCTAGCAATGACAGCCAGGACCAGAGGAAAGGATGTACCCAGATTAGGCAGCCGCTTCTGTCACACTTGCTGTGGAGACAAGCAGGAGGGTATTTTTAACAGAAGACACTTCCTCTGCTGGTCTGACAAAGCCCAAGGCTGGTGACCTTCCAGGCACAGTGCACACTCCATCTGTTTCCCATTAGATGAAGGGTATTTAAGTAATGCAGGTGATGATAATTTGTTTGTTTGATTCCCAGGGATGGTTTATTTTGTTTTTACTAAATTGGACATGTGCAATCCTTTGTTTTCAAGTAAATTGTCCATGACGCATTGAAAGATTTGATATAGCAAAATCCCAACAATGACTTAAGTGAAATACCCACAACCTGCATCTGTAATTAAGAAAGGCAACAAAAACTTGATTTATTACATCTTTTCCCTTGAGAAAAAAAACAAAAATAAAAATAAACTAAATAAATGAGAACCCTTGGAGAAACTTGCCCTCTCTTTCTTCCTTGAACGTGAACCAACATAACATAAACCAAGAATGCATTTTTTCACTAGGTAGAGGTGTAACTCCTTGTAATTGAGGCCACATGTTCTACTTGCAAGGATTTTGGGAGGTCTGTCACATTGGGTGATACCATCAGCAACCCTTCAGAAGAACATTTTAGCAAACAAAGACAATGGCTTCCTAGGCCAACCTGAAACAATGCAGCCAAGAGTACTGCAAAGCCAGCCACCTCCTAACACCAAAATAAGGTAATTACATCTGAGCATGAGATTAACCACAGCAGCAAACATCCCCAGGTAGCATGGACTCAGTGTCTACAGGACCCATCTCCCTCTCAGTCTGCCTAGAAGAGCTGCAAAAGGCTCTACCCAAAGCAACACGAGAACCCTGACGGTTCACTGCATTTGAGGTAATGCCGGGAATTTGTTCTTCAGCTAAACTAAGCATCAGAAAAGCACTAATCACTTCAAAACAAGCATAAAAATCCAGGATGTACTTTATAGCATTAAGCTATAATTTTTTAAAATCCAAGCGTACTAAGGACCTTAGTACCAGCACTATGTGGACCCAGTGTAACGCAAAGGAGTCAGATACTGTATGAACTTCTGACAGCTTCCTAAGATATTTCAGGTATTTCAGAGGAATACACAGGCAGACAGAAAATAGCATCAAACATCTATGGCATGTTTTACTGTTTACATGAAAGCAGGAACTGTGGTAATGAAGAAGATAGTAATTCCTATGATGCACCCACTGAAAAGTAAAGATGCTTCAGTTTCAGACATGCCAACTGACACACTTCCAGCAATGATAGGTACCTGAGGTATCTGCTGGTGCTTTGAGAGGGTCAGTCATCTGGTGCCCTATGAGATGCACTATCGTACCTGAGACGTGCCCAGAGGACTGCCAGGTGTCTGGAAGATGCCTGGGAGGCATATGTCCTCCTGCAGCGACAGCTGAAAACCAGGAGATCTAGAGGACCTCCAATGCACTGAACGTCAATACCCGAGCAACTCGACTGAATGGGCCAAAGAAGGTAAATACTGGCTTCCTGGCTACTAGAAGGGGGCATGTGCACATACATAATGTGAACTAGGACTGAGTTTTACTGGGTTGCCCTTGAGTTTAGCATGGATTTTTTTGTTGCATGAAACTCGTCAACAGTTTATCACTCTTCAGGAGTTTTTAATGTTTTAGGGAAAAATAAATGTTCAGGATATGCATGGCTTTAATCAAGATCATTTTCTTACAACAGAAGTTCTACTAATGCACTATGAACTCATGTATCTGGTTAACATCAAACCAGTTTCTTAAATAGACATCACAAATAAAGCCAAGAGAGAGCTGCTATAATCAGTCATATTCTTCTTCCAGAAAGCTGCAGAACTTATTTCCAAAGGCATGCACACTCTGTTGCCTTTAAATACCACCCCTCAATCTGCAGACAGATGGTTTTTGCGAAGACAGGTATCCACAAGGTAACACAGGCTTTCATGCATAGTGGCTTGTAGTGGTTTGACCCTGACCAGTGGCTAGGTTCTGCCCAAACAGAACTTCTACATACTGTGGGAGGAGATAAGGTCCCCATAGTGCACATGGGGAGGTGGCTGGGGAAGGCCGTGTGGGTTGCTCCTCCCATGGGAAAAGGCAAATACAATCATAGGATTGTCTTTGCTCAGGGACCTGGGTATAGTTGGTGGGTAATGTGGAAGGGTGGGGAAACCCGATGTGTGCCTCAAGGTGATTTAACCTTGGGGGAAAAGTAATCTGGTATGTGAGTTGTTTGTTGTGGGAAGTGACGACCCAAACTGATGAAGAGTAAGTTTCACAAGGAAAAAGAAGAAAGTAATGGTGATCCAAACCAAATTGGTTTTGGTGCCCAACGACTGGATGTACTGCTTCTCCTGTCCTGAATGCTACAGACAGGGCCCAAGTAACATCTGGAACAGTGAAAGAAAAACAGAATGGAAGAGTAATATCTCTCTATTAAAGGACTGGGGAATAGTAGTTAATCAACGTGTATAAATACGCATGTTAGATGTAAAGATGGTTTAAGTATGTGGGACCTAAGCATGACGCAAATAAGTGAATAAGGGTTGAAGATGGTATTAGGTCATGCTGAGATGGAGTGAATTTTCCCCAACTGAGCTCTCACCATGCTGTGTTTGGGTTTCTTTTTTTTTTTATTTTGGTAATTGTAGCTAGAAGGGTGTTGATAGCACCCCACTGTTTTGGCTATTGCTGAGCAGTGCTCACACAGCACCGATGCTGTAGTTTTCCAATATTCCCCCAACAGTAAGCTGGGGGTAGGCAACATCTTGAGAGCAGACACAGCCAGGCCAGCTGGCCCAAACTGACCAGAAGGGTAATTCGTACCATATGACGTCAGCTCAGACGCAAAACAAGAAGGGAGAGGGAAGTGGCGGGGAGGCATTCATGGATTGCACTTGTCCTCCAGAGCAACTGGTACACAAACTGGAGATCTGCTTCCTGAGAAAGTGTCTGGACATCACTCACTGATGGGAAGTAGAGAATAATCTCTGCTTCCATGCACATTGCTGTATTAAACTGCTTTTATATTAACCCACGGGCCTCTCGTTATATCTTCCCTCTCCACTGTCCATCTAAGAAGGGGGAGTGATAGAGCAGCTTTGGTGGGCTCCTGGCCTCCAGCCAAGGTCAAACCACCAGATGGGTACATGTAGTTTTAAGCCTATTTGCAAAATCTGCCCTTGAAACTAAGAGCAGGCTGGCAAAGGAACCACATCCTCCTTTGACAAAGGGCTGGAGCACATCATGGGCATGAAGTGGCCCCAGGCTCTGCGAGCTCTGTCCACTCATAAGGATCCCCCTCGAGCACTTCCAGCCCCTTGCTGCAGGGAGACCAACCTCCCAACCACAGCAGCAGCAGGACCATGGACCAGCAAAAAGTTTTTGAGCCTACTCAGAGAGCAGTGGAACATGCACAATACATTCACTTTTCACATCTGATGCAGGCACAGATGCCTGAGGAAGCAGGAGCTGACCCTTGATCATCCAAGAGCCAAGAAACCCCAGAGTAGACTGCACCTTTGTGCTTTTCACAGACATTTGCTTCAGAAGTTAAACTTAAAAGTTCAGCAAACAAGTTCCTGTTCAAAAGATTCATGACAAAAGGGGAAAAAATTTAAATTACCATATTGGAGTGAATGAAAACAGGGGATTCCAAGACAGAGAGGTAATTTAGAAACAACTCTTTAGCAGGTGAAATTGGTGGATGACTATGGATCTGGTCCACATTTCTGCAGCATGCAAATTCATCTTACAGAGCTCACAGTCCTACCTGACTATCAGCTGCTCAAACTCTGTCAGGTTAATTAAAAAGGATTTGTAACGGAGTGTGCAGGTGAGAAACAAAAAAAGTCAGTTTTGTTGCTCTTTGTAATAGTTCATTAACCTGCTAAAATTACACCCAGGTATTTTCTTGCGTGGTATTCTGTCCCTTATAAATGTCTTCAGAACCGGAACTTAAAAGTACTGAGACCTTTCAAATATAGTAAAAAGTTTGGCACGTTGAGGATACAGCTCAGCCAGTCCATACCTCTTCTTCATACATCAACTCTCTTTTTGACCTTGTTTTTCTCTGCTGTGCAAGAGAAGTGATTTGTACAATTCCCAGTGTGCTCTGTGTCATCTTCGTCGGGATTCTGACACACAGCAATGACATCTGGGGGTGACGAGGAGCAACAGCACCTTGAAGCCATCCCACAGAGACACCAATGGTGACAGAAGATTATATCCCGAGGAAGGCCATCAACAGATGTGTGCAGAACCTGCTCCTTATTGCAATGCATATGGCCTACATCGCTAAACAAATGTGAATATAATAGCTAACAAGTTGTGATTATTAAAGTATGTCTGAATGTGTTTTCTCCTAATATTTTTGCTATGCGGCTTCTGATCAAAAAGAGATGCTTATTTCTTTATATCATTATTTAAATGATGGTGCTTAATAGTTTAAGCACCTTCTAGTATAGATTTGCTTTGATCTTTCTGAGTTGTTTAAATAGGAAAAGCAATATATAAGGTTCAGTTTCAAAGAACAGAAAAAAAGAGATGAACAATAGACTTGTATCTTTCACTTCTCCCTGTGACATTCACTTACCAGTTCTGCATGAAGCCAATCACTAAGCACTGATCCAAAAATATCTAACAATGACCTCTGGAGCAGAAAAACGGCATGAGAATGCCCTTGCCTGGCGCTTTTCAAATCTTTGCTTTTGGCTTGACTTTCACAGGATGCTGCAAGTCCACAGACAGGACTAAGAGGTGTCTTGGGGTGCCTGTGCCTGGAGACCAACTCTTTAACCTGCAGCCCTCCACAGGCTATCCCAGATACACTTCATTTACAGATGCATTTTATTCTTATATAGCTTTAATTACAAAAAGGTGGTGCTACTCACTGAACGTTCGGATGATGTCACTTGGTGCACTGGCAGTGCTGGATCCATAGGAGTTTGCTGCTCGGACGGCAAACTGATACTTGGTGTTTGGCAAAAGTCCTTTGAGAACCATGGACTCCATCTGGATCTGCTCTCTTATTATGGTCCAGTTGCTGTCAAGGTCTGGCCTTCAGGATCAAACAAAGCCATGATCACAAATCATTAAAGCTGGCTGCATAGATTAATTGCCTTTCAACTTTGCTGGGAAATACACAAAGCAAATGAGAGTTAAATGTTAAATCACCACTGAAATCCTTCACTCTTAAGGGGTCAGACTGTGTAACCATTACTAAGTTGCAAAGACTGTGACATCAAAACTATACAGTGATATAAAATCAATATTCAGACTTTGCTTATAAAGGCCAGGAGGTTGTTTAGAGGACAGTTTGATAAATCAAATTCCATTTATCTGTTTTCACAGATTTGGCATTCAGAGTTTTCAAGCAGAAGTATATTACCTGCAGTTCCCAATCCCCTGTTTGGCTGTGTAAAACAATACTTTGCAATAGAGAAAGATTCTGATTTATTTCTAAGTTTGTTCTCTAATGCCACCAAGTCTCTTCAGGTATATGCAAGCATTAACAAGATAAGAATCTAATATTTGACCTCCTAGGCAATAAGGTTAATCCAACCACATTAGAAAATCTGGATCCAAAGTCTTCTCTTCAGAAAAAAAAACAACCCACAACTCGAAAGAGAAAAATAATGCAGAGAACCTGGCCTGTGTATGTGGATTTGGAAACAAAATTTCCATTTCTACCTTTAGACAATGGCTGGTTAACTCATACCGATGAGCACTGATACTGGAAGCCAGCTGCCAATAAATGCTTTCTCTAAGTACAGTTAGAATCATAGAATCATATCAGCTGGAATAGACCTAGAAGATCATTGAGTCCAGCCTTTGTCCCATCCCTATCAGCCTACTAATCAATTCCCCAAACGCAACATCCACCCTTCTCTTAAACACCTCCAGGCACGGTGACTCAACCACCTCCCTGGGCAGCCTGTTCCAATGGCTGACAGCCCTTTCAAGTAAAGAAAGTCTTCCTAATATCTAACCTGAAACTCCCTTGGTGCAATTTAAATCCACTTCCCCTTGTCCTGTCACTCTCCACTAGGGAGAACAGACCAGCTCCCAGCTTTCCACA